GGGTGCTCGAAATCTAATTCTGGGATGTGGTCCTTATGTAGGATGGGAACATCATGGACCTGTTCGGCTCAGGTTCGACCCAACTTCGACTGAGGTTCGACTCAGGTTCGACTCAAGTTCGACTCAGGTTCGACGCAGGTCGACGGACGCTCGACGCAGCTTCGAGTGGCTCCAAGAAGGCCCCCAGAACGAGCGTCGAAGGGTGCCCCAGCCTGGCTAGGAACGCGCGGCTTCTCCATCATTGGCCTGGGCTTCAGGTCATTGTCTCCTCCCACCTTGAGCCAGTGACCCCCCCCCCTGACACTCCGCCTTACACACCTTCCGACCAGCAGTTGGCTGATTTAGTGATCTTCCCGAGGGGCAGAACAATACAGCGACAATAACTTTCGGAGCCCCGCGCCGATTTCTCTTGGATCTGCGGTGCACCCCCCTCCATGGCGCGCCCGGGGCGGCGTCGGAGGCGCCGCCAGGGGGCTCCAGCGCCGATCCAAGGAATCCGCCTGGAGTTCAAGAAGTTCATATGTTTGCAATGTTTTTGCCCCTCGAGAAGCTCGTTCAATCCGCCACATGCTGGTCGGGAGCTTCGGAAGGCGGAGGGAGGGTCGGGGATCGGTCCCCCTTCAGGTGGGGGCGGCGCCCCCGTGGGATCCACGGCGTGGACGCTGATCTTCGGTTTCTGCTTTGCGTGGCTGCTGAGGCTTACGCACGACCGCGGGTGCGGGACCGCTCGGTAGTAATGGGCGCCGTCCATTTTGTTCGCGTCACAAGGGCTCTGTATTGAAGCGGTGGACATGGCCAACATGGGGTCGCACAGCCCCGTCGGGTCATGGGGCCAACACGGGGTCACACCAGCCTTGTTGGGCTCCCGAGGGCTCCCGAGAGGGGTCACACAACATGCTCGCCAACATGGGTGTGACAGCCGCAAGGTGGCAACGCTACAAAATGGACGCGGCCAAGTCACGGGAGCCTTGTATTAGAGAGACAGCATTCCGCCCCCACATCCCCAATGACGATTTTTACATGTTGTCGGACCGTACATTTGTAAGTGTAGTCGACGCGCTCACATGGCGAATAGGTGCACATCGCCATCGTTTTTACAAACCACGTTGGCGTTTTGGTGAATTTGCGCTTTCGTTGATAACAATGCGCCGGTGCATGTGCGCGAAGACACGAGTTGATCCATGTTCCAGGGAGTCTCGCGCAGGGTACTTTTTGTACAGTTTTGGGCGGCTTCTTTTATCCGGGCTGACCCAAAAGGGGGTCCAGCGACAAGGTGGTGGTGCAATAGATTTGTGAGGTTGCAATACATTTGGGGCGTGCAATACATTTCGGGGCGCAAATGTATGGCTGTATTTTCGCGTGCAATGCATTACTTGCAATACAATGCAATACAACTCTCCGGCGCAATACATTTGCAAAACACTTGCCCTAAATCTATTGCAGCACCCCCTTTTCAGCTTGACCCCCTTTTCAATCACCCAAATTGATTAAAGAAAGTGCTCGGCTTTACCAAACAAAACGGTTCTGCACGCCGCTCGGCGGCCGCGCTTTCTGCAATTTTTCCAGGGGCTTCGCCCGAGGCACGAGCGGCCGACGGCGGGCGTCGGGCCGCAGGCCCCAGAGAGAAGCTCTGAGCATATAGGATGTGGTATGGTGGGTGCGGGGGCGGCGCGGGCTGCCTACATTCAGTATCGTTTAACCAAGCCCCATCCCCTTCGAGACCCCCACCAAATTACCACCCCAGTTGGGGATGCACCCCTCGAAACCCGAAGGGAACGGCCTATATCCCCATCTAGGGGGGTAAATCGGCCAGTGGGGCCCAGGCCACGCCGCTGGGGAAGGGGATCAGTTAAACGATACTCAGTGTGGGGGTGGTTTGGGCTGCCTACATTTGTGTGTGCTTGTAACTCCGTCTTCTCCGTCTTTCGAGCGCACCAGCGTGCGCCAGCGCCTGGTAACCGAAGAGAGAGCGCCGATTCAGCGCCGAGCAGCGTCGATCTAGCATCCCTTGGCGTCGATGGGCGTCGCATCCGCCTCGACTCGCGCTGTGTTTAGCGTCGGGCAGCGTCGATTCGCAACAAGAGCCAGCGAGATGGCATGGTGGGCCCCCATGAGTTGCCGCAGATCGGAGGTTGATAGACCTCCTACCCTGACACGTCGATTAGCGAATTGGCCGTTTCGGGTTCGCATCTGGGCGTCGCGGCCGTCATTTTCGCGGGCCCAGGTGCGTCGGTTCCGGTCCTGGGTCGTTCTCACGAAAGGGTGGTTGACTAAAGGGAGCACTGTCCACCGCCGAGCAGAAGGTCACCACCCACCAAGCCACCCCAACCCAACCCGAAGGCCCAGATTTACCCTCGATTTCTAGTGGGGGGGGGGTCCGGGAACATCGAAAAAACACATGGAGCCCATACCCCCCCGAACCCGAAATTCGGGTCTTCGGGTTGGGTTGGGGTGGTCTGGTAGGTAGTCAGAAGGACTGTCCTTGTCCTCAACCTCCTCATCCTCCTCATCATCTTTCCTCCTCCTCCTCCTCCTCCTTCCCCTCCCCCTTTCTCCTCCTCCTCCTCCTTCTCCTCCTCTTCCCCGTCCTCCCTGCCCCTGCAGCAGTCGTGCGATTCTGACCACTGAAGGACTCTGGGCACGGTCGCGGTGGTCGCGGGCCTCTCGACCTTCTCGATGATGGGGCTGCTCACCGGGCTCAGCGCCGCGGCGGGCGACCGCATGGGCATGCCGGGGCCCCTGACGCTTGGCGCCGGTGCGGCTCTGCTGGTGCTGTGCTGCGGCAGGGAGGTCGCGAAGGTTGGCCGATCCTCACCTCGGCGTCACCCCAACATACTTATACTATATGTGCGTCGCCCCCCCGGGGGCGATGCGCGCATCGAGAAATCTTATAGTATGTGCGTCGTGGCGGGCGGTTTCTGGCCACACCGCTCGGGAAACGATATACTACAAGATGGGCATACTATATGTTTGGGTCGGACGCGCGCCTCCAAGGAGAACACATAGTACTAGTATGTCTCTGTGCGTCCCATTACCAGCTGGAAACATATCCCAATCTCTATTGTTGGTATCACCTCACCTCGGTGCTGATCTGAAGGATTCCCTCCGTTTGGGGGGGCACATGGCTTGCCGATTTTTGGGGGTGGGGATCAGTTCGAGGCTGGTCAGATCCCCTCGTTGTGGGCGGTGCCATTCGGGGCGTTCCAGAACGAGCCTCGCGTTCGGCGCGTCTCGCCCCTCGGCCAGCGGCCAGCGGATGCCTGCGGAGGTAGAACACGGCAGTGGCTCCGCTGGCGGAAAGGCGGCGGAAGTGAACGTGCGGCGGCAGATGACGTCAACTGTTTGAACCCAGGGCTTCTGGGGTCGGCGGCATGGGGAGTGCCAGAGTCAAGGGAGGAAAAACCACCCGGACCAGACAACTGGCGTTAAGTAGACGGCCCTGGGCGTTTACGAAACGGCCTTGCCCTGTTCGATGCTTTCAGTGGGGGCGTTGAGTAAACGGCTTCGCGTGCCGGGGTGGTTGTGATGGGGTCGGATGTTCTGCCCTCTGCAGAGGGTGAACAGTCTCTTACATACCCCTTTGTGTCGTAGAGGCCACATCCGCGCGAGTTGGCTCTCGGGGGCCGCTCTGCCTCAAGCGTCCCCCTTACACGCCCGTCGCTGAAAGGAGGCAGTTCTGGGTGCCCAAGTCCCGATGTTCGTTAAGCGCATTCCTACTTCAACGATCGAGTGGCTTCCCCTCTTCCTCTTCAGGCGGCGGGCGGAAGCCCAGTCATACTTCCATCGTTTTCCTACTTCATGGTTCTACCCACTTCTTCCGACCGACGAGTAAGTCCGCAGACGGCGCCTCTGCACCAGCACCATGCCTGGCCATGGGAATTCTGGGCCCGAGGATATTCATACGCCCTCCTGGCATCGGCCAGGAGAGTCTAAACACCATGCGATGGCCCAGGATGACACTGGCCGGGCGTGGTGGTGATGCACAGGTTCCTTCTGCAGATCTAGGGCCCGGCTAAGAAGGTGTGGTGTGGATCTGCAGCGGGGACTTCTCCCGAGCAGGCGGCGATGCAGCACACAATGGCGTCCATGCCAGCGCCGCTCACCCGCCTCGTCCGGGCATTCATCGTTTTCTACTTCGGTGTTCTCGTGGCCACGATGGCATTGGGGCAGCCTGAGACGCAGGTCTCGGACGACAACGACACACCGACCTGATTTCTGCAAAGCCTATCATGGCCTATGATCGGTGTACAAGCCTTCCTGACCTATCTTGACGGCGTATACACCGATCCTGCTCCCTCATGGTGGGCCTGGCCTGGCCAGAGTCGGTGCCGGTGTATAGTTGTCGCCCAGAGGTCTCCACTGGCGTGCACCAGCCCTTCGCCATGAGCGCGAGCACCTGCCTCGCCGAAGACACTGATCTGGTCGAGTACCGCCGACTGCGTTTTGCCTGCCGCGACCCGCCGCGACACCTCCCGCTGGCCAGCGGCAGCGGGGGTGCGGACACGCCCTGGCACGCTCGGGGGTGGGCGCACGACGCGGCGGAGCTGCCGCCGATCCACCATCCGAGCGAGTACCTGACGTTCGACTGCGACCGCGACCCCGCAGTTCTGGCGGCGCTGGAAAGGGCCGGCGTCCAGGCGATCCCGCCGGAGGCGGCGACGTTGTCGGCGGAGGGCCTGGCATCGTGGTACACCGTGTGCGGCGTTGCGAGCTCGAACGTGCGGGGGCTGTCGTGGTGCGTGGTACTGGGGCTGCTAGGCGTTGTCCTGTTCGATGGGTCTCTCAGCATGAGCCAAAGACGAAGCGACGCTCTGGGCCAGCAGGGCGGCACTTTGTCGACTGCCGGCGCGGACGAGCCCTTGGACGCGGCGCCCGCGAGCGAGAAGGAATATTGGTCCGCCCGCTCCGGGGATGGCGACGATGACAAGTTCAGGTCCGCCTCCCTCTCCGAGGCGAGCCAGGACTCAGCATCGTTCACCCTAGCCCCATCCCCACCGAGCCATGGCACCTCAGCCCCGCCATCCCACCACCCCAGTCGGGGATAGACCCTCTGAAACCCGAAGGGAACAGCCCACATCAGCACCTCGGGGGCAAATCGGCCCGTGGGGCCCAGGCCACACCAGTGTTAGGTCGGGCCTGTCCCCCATACTGGCGGATTTTGGGCGAAAAATTAAAGATACTCCAGACATGCCAAAGAATAGCCAACAACTGCTCAAAAAAAATGTCCCCATACTATTTTTGTTTTTTGAATTTTCCCCCTGTAGAGGGACAGGCCCGACTTAACGCCAGTGGGGATAGGGATCGGGCAAACGATGCCGGAAGGACCGCTGGGTCGAGAAGACGAACCAGAAGCGGCTCTCAGCTTTCGGGCGCGCGCTGAAGCACGGCCTCGACCCCGTGGTCGAGCCGCTGCTCGCGCTGCCCGGCGGCTGGTTCTTCGCCTCCATTCGGGCGTCCGGTAATGGGGGGCGATAAACGGGGGGGCGTCGAGGGTGGCACGAAAGGGGCCCTACAGGTGCCCTAAACGAGCCCCCACAGGGCCCCGAAGGGGTAGGAAAGGTGCACGAACGGCGCACCCTTCTTACCCCCCCATCGATCGCCCCCCCATTAGTGAACGCCCGATCAATCGCGCTCGGAGCCCTCATGCTCGGGCTGCAGTTCGCTGCCGGGGCGGCCTTTCAGCGGGCGCTGGGCCCGGACATCCTCGGGCCAGGCGCCGGGACCGTCGGCGGCGGCGGGCGGGCTGCAGCGCCGGGCGAGGGTCTCCTGCTGCAGCCCCTCTACGAGTCCGCGAAGGCGCTCCTCGCGATTGCCGTGGCGGGCCGCCTGGGGCCCCTGGGGATCGTTCACCCGATGGTGCCTTCCCTCATCTCGGAGAAGCAACAGTGGGCCACGCGCAGAGGGGGGGTTAATTAGGGGGAGGGGGGAAGGCTTCAGAAAAGCACCCCGCTCCTTAGAAGGCGCGGGCCTTCTCTAGGAATGTAGGACCGGTGCCTTCCAAGAAGCAGCCTCCTTCTAAGACGGCTTCCCCCGTCCCCCCTACCTCTTTGGTGCGCGCCACCAAAGCAGCGTAAAGGCTACATAGGCCTAAGTTGTCTCGCCCGTAGGGTAAGGCTAGAAAGCCAGCCGATGATAAAACCGTAATGCGTGCTGGCCAGAGTGACCAACACCAGTTTTTGTTTCCCGTGGAGCTGACGTGTGGAACACTGCCCCTCAGAGCATGGATTGATTGATAAACTGTCTCAGCTCCGCCCGGATTTCTTGGATCGGCGCTGGATCCCCTCCCTGGCGCGCGGAGCGCGCCCAGGGATGCGCCGGAGGCTTCACCAGGGGGGGGACGGCCAGCGCCAATGTGAGAAGTCCGCGCGTTGAGCTCCGACAGCTTATGTTTGCCGCTTTTCCTTCTTCGATCATCGCCGTCGGGGGATACTTCTCGCTGAGCCTCGCCTTCACCCTGGTCGACGTGCTCTTCACCGGCTGCGGCGTCGTGCAGGCCTCGCAGGCGCAGGCCGAGAGCGGGAAGGTGACGCGACAAGCCAAACAGCATGTATAGATATACGCACAAAGCTACATACGTATGTGTGTACACACGTATGTGTATCTATATATCGAATAGATTAAAACACCAGCGAGAAGGTCGCGCGGACCAGCCTGGAGCGGTTTGGGGGGAAGAGTTTGGGGCTCTGGCGCGTAGTGAAGTCGCACGTCCTCTTCCAGCTGGTGCTCGTCCCGGTCTACTGCATGCTCCTCTGGAGGCCGCAGGAGATGCACATGTACCCGACGCCGTGGTTCTCTGCCGACTCGGCGGCGGGGTCTTCTGGCGCGGTTCCCGCGCTTCCGGCCTCGGCGCCCACTTTGCCTGAGTTCATCCTCACGTATCTGTTCTCGCTGCTGAGCATGGACGCGGGCTACGGACTTTGAAGAAGAAACGCTGCATGAACATCAATTGTCAGAAGTCTGCGCAGACTTCTTGGATCGGCGCTGGGCCCCCCTCCCAGGCGCACTGGAGGCATCGCCAGGGAGGTCAAGCGCCGATCCAAGAAATCTCAGCGGACGTCCGAAGGTGTACGTTTCTAGTTCCTAGGATGGTGGCACTTCCTGGCGCACCGGTACAAGCAGATCTACAAAAATGTGCACGCGTGGCATCACGAGTACCACGCGCCTTTCGCCTTGGTCAGTCAGCATGCGCACCCGGTCGAGCTGGGTGTCACAGGAGCGCTCGCGGTGTGTGGTCCGATAGCTTGTGGGGCACATCCATTCGTGCTTTGGGTCGCGCTCTTATCCAGCGTGGTCATGAGTGTCGATGCGCATTGCGGCTACGATCTGCCGTGGTTCCTTAATGCGAGGAAGCTCACCTTCGGGATAGTAGGGGGCATGAGGCATCATGACGATCACCACCGGAAGCCCTGGGGCAACTTCGCGCCATTCTTCACATATCTTGATGTGCTCGCGTGCACGAATCATGAAGACGTGGGGCCAATTTCGGACATGCATGCGTGAGTTCCGCCATGGTTTCTGAGGGGATACTTGGCCAGTGAAAGTTAGGAGGCTGTAGCGCCTGGCCCCTTTCTTGTTCGAGACTGACAATTCTTTTTGAGCTCCTCATCCCCTGTACCTGCCAGGCATTCCTGGCCAGAAGACTCCTATGGTTTAAGGCTGCCGCTGGTAAACCGAGCATTGTTCATGCATGCTGGAGGTCGGTTGGCTGTAGGTCTTTGGTTGGATTTTGTGGGAATCGTATCTCGGGGAGTACGTTGCGACTCAAACAAACGAAAAAGTATGATCATCCGTCACCGCAGTTATCAGTATCGGTATCGTGGTTGCCACATCGCCGTCGATATGTTAGGTCTCATCGTCATCAGCGCCATTATTTTCGTCATGGACGGTATCGTCATCGACGTCTTCATCTTTTTCGTCATTTAGGCGCGCGTGGCGTTAACAGTCTCCGGCTCAGAGATTCCAGGCGCTCCCCAGGGGGCGAACTGCGGAACCGCCTGGGCAGCCTTTGCCACAGCTCAAGGGTTCGACAGCCACCTCACTTCGAAAGCTGTCGGCAGATATACGATATACGGTCGAGCATATGATTCAGAAACCTCATTCGAAAAGTTGGGCCAGCGTTTCTGAGCTAATTTGCCCAAAAGCTGTCCCAGCTTCTCGCGTTCGTCCCTCCAGCTTTCACGGCAGGTGGGCCCAGGTTTGTTTCAAGAATTTTCCTTGAAGTTGGCCCAGAGTTCTGTTTTCATCACCACTTCGTCGGTTGCAAGAGAGGGTGTTTGACCCTCTGGGCCATACCGCGCGTTATGCCCCAACCCTCCGCCCCCTCCAGCCCCCCATAACGCAGCACTCCCCCCCCTAGTGCGTCCCCGGCACTGCCGCAGTGCGTCCGCCCTCGCTCTAAGCTCTCCGAAGCGACCTGGTGCCCCAGCGGGCGGAGGAGATGAATATATATATATATATATATAGTCAGGAGGGAAAAAATGCACACAGACACAATGAAGCGTCGATTCCCCAGAAGATATGGGAAAAAAGATGGGCATTGGGGGGGGGGAAGACAGAAACCCAGAAAATATATGAAAAAACATGGGAATCCTTGAAATTTGTGCCCTTTCATATATTTTGGCCCCCGGGGGCCCGAGTGTGTCCATATCCACAGCCTGCGCGGCCGCCTGGACGGCGGGCGCCGCGCAGCCTGCGCCACACAGAGGGTGCACGGCACTGACCGCACCACCTGGTTGATGGGCTTGTGTTCCACCACCACCACCACCATAAGTTGGAGGGGGGAAGGAGGTTGAGGAGGAGGAGGAGGAGGAAGAAGAGGAGGAGGAGGAGGAGGAGGAGAAGGACCCCCTCCCCCTCCAACTTATGGTGGTGGTGGTGGTGGGAGACACGCACATCAGGGGGGGGGGGAGGAGGAGAAGGAGGAGCGAAGTCGAGGGGGACCGGGAGGAGGCGGGCCAGGGCGGGACAATCCTTCGTTCGGCGGCGAGCGAGGGGGGGAAGTTAGAAGGAGAAGGCCTTCTCAGAAGGCGGCGGGGCTTCTCAGAAGCCCTCTGGCCTTCTGACCAGCTTCCTGCGTTTTTTGCTAAGACTTGGAAAACTGACCAGAAAGTCGCGGGATTCCCGAGCCTTCTGAGAAGGCCCGCCCCTTCTGACTAACCCCCCTCCGGGCTTGCCGCCGAACTGAGATTGCACCACACAGCTTTCACCACCACTATTACACCACACAGCTCAATCACACAGCTTGCACGGCACATACTGCACTACATGTCTTGCACCACTATTTGTTACATCACGTAGTTTCCTCTGCACCGATTGAACCGCGTGGTGTACGCATCTGGAGTGCAACATTTCACTGCTTCGGGCCCACGCTGGCACACGCTAGGCACGAATAGAGCACAGCTTCTCCTCTCTCTCCTGTTCACCGTCCACTCACCGTCCTGGTCAACTTGCTGCTCCGCCTGGTCAATCAATCGCTTGCTGCTGCCCCACCTGGTCTTCATCCACCTCATAGTCCTCATTCCGAGGCGGGAATTTATACATGACCGCCGCCTGGAGGGTCAGTTTTCGGAGCCTCGGCAGGCGGTATGGACATTCGGGCCCCCGGGGGCCGACAAATATATCACTATCCGCCGCCCGCTGGGGCACCGGGACGTCGGTTCCCGGGCGGTGGATGTGTACAACTCCCCGCCTCGCACTCATGCCTGCTGCTCCAGTCTATCCCCCAACATCCTCGCCTTCGTCATATCTGGCCTTCCCCCCACACACATCCCACATCTGCCCCCCCCCCCCCCCCATATCTGGCCCTCCCCCCCCCACACACATATCCCATATCTGGCCGGCCCCCCCTCATCTCCCATGCCACCTTCAGTCTGTCCACCACATCTGGACTTGCCCCCCCCCACGTCCTCGCCTTCGTCCGTGCCGCCCCGCCGCGCCCAGACCTCTTCGCCTCCAAGGTGTCCGCGGTGGAAGACCGCCGCCGCCGCCGCGGGGGGGAGAGAGCCGCCGCCGACCTCTGCGCCGGTGCTCCGGGCAGCGGGCCGGGCGGATAGGCATGAGCGCTCCAGTAGATGGACAATATATTCGAACCCTCACACATTCGAGGGAGATTCTAAATCACCCCCGCGCCCCCGACATCAATGTTGATCTCAGTAAAGGCGGTTCTTTGGGGTTCGAATATTTCTGTCCACTCACGCCCCCCCCGTCGCCACGCCATCAATATTAATTTCGGGGATCAATATTCGGGGGGTCGGGGGGGCATCTTGGGCCACAGGGTTCGAATGTAATGTCCATGTAAGGTATCGGTCTTAGTGTGCCCTGGAAACGACAGGGCCGTTTTTCTACCGGTTCCGTTCTGCCGTTTTTTTTGCCAGTGCCTGAGCCGTTCTTTTCCCGGTCCCGTTTTGCCGTTCTTTTGCGGGTTCCCGCTCCGGCTCCAATCCTGGAGCCGCTTGTGTTGCCGTTTCCGGTCGCCGTTTTTTTGCCGCTTCCATTTTCAAGGGGCACGTTTTCGGAAACGGTGAAAAAAACGGCCCTGCCGTTTCCGGGGCCCACTGAGCTCTCGGTCGGTTTTGATTGGGGAAAGGTAAGACTCGAGTAAGCCGAAATTCGGGTTTGCCGACTTTTTTTGTTGACGAGCGCGTCCTGGATTTTGACGGTCCCGTTTTCGTGAGATGTCTGCAGCGGGAGCCCGCGTCAAATCTCATATTGGGTCTCGTCATTTTATGATGGCCCCCGTCAGGCCAAGCCCAGCCCCCCGTACCCGAGTCTTACGTCTCCCCGAATCATGCGGGCCTGCGGTGCCCTCTGAGGCTTCCCGAGTCTGATGCCCAGCACGGGCCCGAACTGATCAGCGCGGGGAATCTGCCACAGAGCGACGTACACTGGGGGCTGGGCCTGTGCTCGAGCAGGGAAGTGGTCCTTTCCGAAGAATAATTTCCAGATGTTCGGAACTGTTATTCAGGACCAGGTCGTCGTCGAGATCAGTGGTATTGCTTACTCCGTGTGCAGGAGGGACTCTGGCGGGCCCTCGCGGCAACGTGCCCTTCTGGCGGCACGTCGCCCCCATAATCGTACAACCTGCAGGCCAGGCCATGGGAGCTGGAGCCGGCTGGGTGGCTCAGGTGGCTCAGCAGACATCAGAAGGGGGCCCCCTCGTCGGCACGGCTGGACGCGGCCCGAAAACTTATCAGTTTCGGCCCCGGGAGGGTCCAGGTCCAGGGGCCCCCCGTCCTCCCTCCACTCTTGACTGCTTTTCTCGGGGCCCATCCAACGTAACGCAGACCCCCCCGGCCGCTTGAAGCGTGGGAACTAGAGTACGGGGAGATGTGAACATCGCGGGGGGCTGGAGGGAGGAAGAGAGACGGAACGGCCGGAACTAATTTACGCATGGGGTAGCGGCGAGAGACAAAGAGTAGGTGCGCGATGAGGAGGAGCAGAGGTAGTCTCTTGTGACCGTCCCGGGTCTTTCTTGAGGCTATCTTGGAGCATCTCGGGGCTTATCCACTGGCCACTTCGGGCCTGTTGGAGCGACTTTGAAGGGCGTGGGAGCTGGCCAGGGTCGTTCTGATGTGATATTACGGTGGTCACGGACGTCTTGGAGACGTTCTTGGGCGGGTTCGAGGGGCAACTTGTCCCATTGGGGAGGCCTCTGTCGGACGGGCCTAGAATCATAATGGATCCGTCTCAGAGCGTTCCGGAACGCTCTGAAACGGCCGCGGCGTTCGATGCATCCTCCAAGCCCGCTGATTCTCAGAGATTCTCGATTTATTCGGGAACTGGAACACAATACATTACCAGTGGCGGGCTGTTTTTCAATCCCAGGATTTCTTGAGGGGTGGTGTGGTGTATATTTGTTCCTCGATGTCCCGTGGAAACAACGAAAGATGTATACACCAGGGTCCCGTAGACACCAGGATCCGCTCTCCAGTGCAAGTTCTAATGCAGGGCCGAAAGATGTGTTGTATAGAGTTCGATTCCCGATTTATATCAGTCCGAGTTTGTCTCGATTCTAGTTTCGTCTTACTCTGGGGCTCTCCCTCGGGATTCCTCGTGCTCCCTCGGGGCTTCCGTGGAACGGGTTGAGGAGTGGAGAGTGCCACGCGCGTGCCGAAAAAATCGGGGTGGGGGCGGTGGTCAAGAAATGTTTCTTCCATGAAGGGTTTCTTCTATGAAGGGTTTCTTCTATGAAGGGCTTCTTCTTGGCCAGGAGGATGCAGATCCTGACGGGTTCCTTCTATGACGGGAGCGGCGACAGCATCATTGGCCAGTCCACGACGGGGGGTCCGCCGGCTTCCAGATCCTGGGTGTTTCGTCCAACGGTGCCTTACGCAACGCCCTCACCGAAGGATTGCAAAAAGGATTGCACGAAGGATTGCAAAAATCATGTTTTTTTGTTGCAATCCTTCGATCAAGGGTTTTTGTTGCAATCCTCCGAAGGGTTTTTTTGCAATCCTTGGGTTTTTGTTTGCAATCCTTCGTTGCAATCCGCCGTTTTGGAT